GAAAGAAGAGTTACGGGAAGGAAACAATACTCAGAGCAATAAAAAAGGGATGGCTGATTGAAGGCTTTTGCATCTTTTCAAGATATCTCACATATTTCCAAGAATGACAAGAATAAGAAACAATGTGATATTCTACTATGTATAAAATAGATAACTAATGAGAACCTACTGTATAGCACAGGGAACTCTACTCAGTGCTCTGTGGTGACCTAAATGGGAAGGCAATCCAAAAAAGAGGGGATATATGTATATGTATAGCTGATTCACTTTGCTGTACAGCAGAAACTAATACAACATTGTAAAGTAACTGTACTCCAATAAAAATTAATTTAAAAAATAAATCATATAAAAGAAAGAACGTGGTATTGACTGTCCTAGGGGTTATGGGACTGAGCAGACTGAGGTTTCACAAAGTGTTATAGGCCTGAATAAAGTTAACAGACTGTAATCTTGTGGCAGTATTCAAATTGCTGAGAAATTTGGATTTTTTTTTCAAATCCTGCCTTGATTTATAGAACGTAAATATTTCCTGCATTGTTTCTATTTTTTCTTATTTCACCCTGAATCACTGAAAACTTCTTCACAGACCAGTATTGGCCCATAGTCTGGCATTTGAGTATTAGTGGTGTAATTAATGAATCTTGGAGAAACATTAGGAAGTAGCCCTTGGGTATACGTCTCACCAAAGGGCTGGAGAAGAGAATTGGTTGCTGCTCAGATTTTTATGTCCTGGAAGAGTCAGTAGTCCCAGGTGACCAGACTGCCTAAGTCTGTGTATAGTATACACAGAGCGACTTAGAGGAAAAGAATCCTTGAGTAGATTAAGCCCCAATGTCTTTGAGAAAGTGATTGGTTGGGTAAAATATTCTTAGCTCCCAGTAGAATTACAGCCTGTGGTGGCTAAGCCTTAGTTAGGATTTAGTTTTGACAAGATTAAAGGTTTTTTTTTTTTGGATCTGCTATAACCACAGATGAGGCATCAAAATATTATTTTGGCCTTCTCTCTGATCAAGTAGTTCTTGACCCCTGGTAGAATATGCAAATCACTTTTAGAGCTTTTTAAAAAGAAAAGATCTAGGCCCCACTCCTGGAGATTCTGGTTGCTGGTAGAGCCTGACATCATTAAATTTCAAACTTCGGAAGTAGCATGTTAAAAGTACTATAATTATTAAAAGTTTCTCCAAGGAAAAACTTGTCTCCCTAATGTTTTCCTTCGTCTTCCTCAGGTATAACCTGCAAGGATTCTGCCCTACTCCAGAAGAGGAGCATCAAGAAAGAAAAAATGGAAGCTGACTCACTAACAGGCAAATCCCAGGTAAATTAGGACTCCACTCTATTGTAATATTCTGCTTTTTCTTTTTAGGTCTGTGAACTTTTGCCAAACATAGTTCCATCTAAGAACATGACTATTTTAGTTGATGATACGCTGGACATTGGATCTATTTTAGTTGATGATACACTTTTTGGAAAATATTTAATTTTTGTATATTCTCTGTGCATCTGTACCCTTGAGATTGTAGATGATAATTGAAGGTATAGACATAGGGCCTACCCAGGGAATGTTTAGAATTAAAAATGAAGGGGGCCAAGGGCAGAATCCTGAGCAATGTCATTTAATAGGCAGGAGCAGAAGAAACCTCAAAGGATACTGGAATGAAAGGACCAAGTGGTAGAGGAAAACCAGGAAAATACGATGTCACGTGAAAGCAAGGAATGACCATATTTCAAGGAGAAATCCTTTAAAAGTTCAGAAAAGTGCAGCCTGAGTAGTGTCTATTCTCTTAACCTCATGGAGATACAAGCATGCATGGGAATAGAAGCCAGGTTGCAGAGGGTTGAGGAAAGAGGAAAAGTGAGGAGGTAGGCAAAACACATGTGGACAACTTATTCACAAAGACTGGCTCTGAGGTAGAGGAAGGATTTGTGTGTTTCAGTGTGATTGAAGGTAAACTATAAGGACAAAGGTGAGAATGCTGGACAGAAAAGTGCAACAGCTGATGGGATGAAGGCCGTTATAGCCAGTATTTATGCAGTGTCTAACATTTCTAAGGGCTGGGAATATGACAGTAAATGAAACAAAACGCCTGCCTTTGTGGAGATTACACGCTACTGGAAGTAGACAAACACAAGCAAATAAGATAATTGCAGATGGTAATAATTATTAGGGAGAAAATAAAGAAACAGACTGATTAGGAAGATGGCTACTTTATTGGGTAATCAGGAAAGGCCTGTCTGACAAAGTGACATTGGGCTCTGAGACCTGAAGGATGAGGCATTAGCCGACAGCGTTTCTCAGTTAGAGATGCTCCCTGTTCTGCTAGGAGAGCCTACATTTTCATTATAAATTTCCCTCAAATCTGCCTTAAACTCTTCCTGTTCTGAACTCTTTCTGTGTAAATTATTTGTACTCTATAGTAATTTTTTGTTCCACAATTATTCCAACCTGTTTTTCTCCTCAGTTAAAATGTAAGCTAATCTAGAGTTAGGACAGCCCTTCATTTTCCTTTCGCAGTCCTCAAAGAGTACCAAGTTGATAGGCCCCTAAGGTAACTTGATTTTTATCACTTAGAACTCCAAACATTGTCCTATCAATTTATTTTTGTATATTCTTGCCACCTACCCTGTTCTTTCCAAATTCATTTCTCCTCTAGTAATATTCTTGAGACCTTTGATTAAAAAGGAACTTAATGTTTTAGGAACCAGTGACATTCAAAGATGTGGTTGTGGAATTCAGCGAGGAAGAGTGGGGGCAACTGGACCCTGCTGTAAAGAACCTGTACAGGGATGTGATGCTGGAGAACTATAAGAACCTGAATTCATTGCATAAAGGTGGCGTCTGTGTATTTACCTAATCTGCCCTTTAGTAGTCTCTTCATCTACTGTTAAAAATTACTGTTGAAGTGGTCGAGGGCATTTGGGTTTCAGTTTAGTTTTCCTAATAACTTCTGGGCACAATAGCAGATTTTCTTGCTGTATGTGATTGAAAGTCTTTTCTGATGTAGAGCTAGAAATACACAGGTCCACTGGCCTTATCTTTTAGCAGCTCTTAGACTACTACTTTGGGATGGGATTCTCTTCCCTATAAAAATGTCTGAAATGTGTTTGTTTGTTTGTTTTCCTTTTCCCCATGTACAGAGCATCTACTTTCCAAACCAGCTGAGACCTCCAGGTTGGAGAGTAAGGAAAAAAGTTGGATAATGGAGCAAGAAATTCTAAGAACAAATGTTTTTGGTAAGCAACAGGTAGATCTGAGGCATTTGTAAGAAGCTTCTGTTCATTAAATACACAGATAATGTACAACCCAGGGTTTGAGTTGTTGGTTGGGAGGTGACAGCAAACCAGCTAAACTTTGAAGAAGAAAAGTCATTGCTTTTTGTTCACAGATTCCTTTTCTTATATGGACAGGCAAAAAAGTGGTGTGGGTTAGGAACACAGACTCTTATTTTTTTTTAATTGAAGCATAGTTGGTTTACAATGTTGTGTTAGTTTCTGGTGTACAGCAAAGTGATTCAGTTATGCATATATATATGTGTGTGTGTGTATGTATTTTTCATATTCTTTTCCATTATGGCTTATTATAGGATATTGAATATGGCTGCCTATGCTATACAGTAGGCCCTTGTTAGTTATCCATTCTATATATAATAGTTTGCATTTGCTAATCCCAAACTCCCAATCCATCCCTCCCCTCCTCCCTCCCCCTTGGCAACAAGTCCGTTCTCTATGTCTGTGAGTCTGTTTCTGTTTCGTAGATAAGTTCACTTGTGTCATATTTTAGATTCCACATATAAGTGATACTATATGATATTTGTCTTTTTTTTTCTGATTTACTTAGTGTGATAATCTCTAGGTCCATCCATGTTGCTGCAACTGGCATTATTTCATTCTTTTTAGAGCTGAGTAATATTCCATTGTATATATGTACCACGTCTTTACCATTCATCCGTCAGTGGACATTTAGGTTGTTTCCATGTCTTGGCTATTGTAAATAGTGCTGCCATGAACATTGGGGTGCACGTATCTTTTCGAATTATAGTTTTGTGTGGTTATATGCCCAGGTGTGGGATTGCTGGATCATATGGCAACTCTATTTTTAGTTTTTTAAGGAACCTCCATACTGTTCTCCATAGTGGCTGCACCAGTTTACATTCCCACCAACAGTGTAGGAGGAGGAACACAGACTCTTAACACAGGTAGAGTTGCTGGGGCAGCCTCCCTGCCAAGTTTCCTCTTCTGTAACGTAACAGTGTTTACCTCCACATTACTGTGAGGATTAAATGAGTTGATATGTGTAGCACACTTAGAACAGCGTCTGGCATGTGGTGTTATATAAGCAAATGTTAGCCAACCTAACATTAAATCATATTCTCTCTTTTAAAGAAAAGGAACTGCTTTATACTAGGGTGACTCCAAAATCTTCCATTTTTCCTTCTTTTACTGTAGACCTCCTTAACTTGTGCCTTCCTACCTTCATCGTAATCTCTTTATTCTTATTAACATTTTGTTTGTGAGAAATTAGAAATTGTGTGCTTAATATAAATTTTAGTAAGTAAAGTATGAAGAGGAATATGACTCACCCTTTTACCTCACTACCCAGAGCTATGCAGTGTTAACATTGTGGTTTGTTTTCTTAAGCCCTTTTCTTTGTGATGATGTGTGCCTATGGCTTGTAAATATTTTTCTCCAAAACTGGGATCATCGAGAATGTGTCATTATGTATTCTGCTCTTCTCACCTCATGTGATATCATGAACAAATACCCATTTAATTAGTCTATGAAAATGTGGTTTCTAATTAGCATATGACAGCCCCTCACATACATGTATAATAATTAACCATTCCCCACCCCAACTATTGGACATTTAGTTTGTTGCCAGGTTTTCAGGCATATATGATTCCTTTCACAGGATTCCTTCTTAGAAGAGAAACTTCATCATCAAAGGGTATACCTATATTAACTGTCTTGTTACATTAGGTTATATTGTCTACAAAAGAACTATGTTGTCTACTACCAGCTCATACTCACTGATAATGAGAGTGTTACTATCACTTTAGTTATTATATCTCTATTATCACCTGAGCAAACACTGGGTACTATTTACCTGAAATCTTTATTAATTTGTTAGGCAATTGACTCCATTTCTCCTTTCATAAGTTAAATCCTCTCCCTGATTATCCTTTCAACACATTTCTCCCTGCTTTTTTTAACTTATATTTTCACCATTCCTGCCTCATTCTCCCATTAGCTTTTTAACATTTTCAGGTCATTATTAATCTTTTAACTTTCTCTCTCATCCCTACACCCTCTTCTAATACTCTGTTTCTCACCTCTTTATAGCCAGACTTGTCCGGATGTTTTATACTTGCTTTTCTCTTTTCCTCACCTTTTATTCCTCAACCCGTTCCTGTTGAGCTTTTACCCGAAATACTAATCTTAAACAGTTCTTGTTCAAGTCACTCATGACTTTATTGGAGCGAGCTTCAGGGGACACTTTTTAATTCCTTATCTCATTTGACTTCTCAACAGCAAGTGACACTGTTAACTGCTGCTCGTTCTGAAAACACTCCTAGGTTCCTGTAATACTCCTGAGTTTCTTCTCTTTCTGGCTAATCTGTCTCTGTCTACTGCAGACCTGTCCTTCTCTACCTATCTAATACATTTCAGTTTTTCAACATTTGATCTCATCCTGTCTTCTCTTTTGACTCTGTATTTTCTTCCATCTACAACTGAAGCTTCAATTATCACACATTTATAGCAGCTTACAAGTTCATATCCCCAGCTGAGGCTTCAGCTCTGAACTAAAATTTATATACACATGACATTTCTCTTGGATGTCTCAAAGATGCCTTAAATTTCATAAAACCCAAGTGATTTTTTTCCTTTCCAGTATTCTTCCATTGTTCCCTAGCTGGATGAGCTGCCATCCATCCAGTTATACAAGTATAGTTTAAGTATTATCCTTGACAGCCTCTTCTCCTTCACCTCTCTAATACTTGTTTTTTTATCCTAAATATCTCTTAAATGTCTCTACTTCTCTATCTGCAATGCCACTACTGTAGTCCATGTCCTGTCATCTCTCACCTGAACTATCACCATAGCCTCTTGTCTTAATACAAGATCTTGGCTTCCCTCTTAGCTCTGTCTCCCCTCCACAACTCCAGTGTTTGAACCACACTGCAGTCATGGAGATCATGGTTTATCATGTACTTGCTGAAACCTCTGTACTGAACTCAGTTTTGCTTACTTCACAACACACTTGTCCCTACCTACTTCTCCAACCTCATCTCACAGTACATCCTTTTTGCACTCAAACCACACTGATCTACTCTGTCAGACAGCATCAAATATGTATTAGCATCTACTGTGCCCTGTGCACTCTGATAGGTGTTGGGGTTCAGTAGAGAAAAAACACTTCCATAGGGAACATATTTCTGTTGTCCCTTGAGTGTGGCTTGCCCTCTCCCATCACAGGACCTCTGTGCACGTTGTTTCTTAACTTAATGCTCTTCCTCCTATCTTTGCCTAGTTGACTCCTATTCCTTCAGATCTCAAATAGGTCCATATCTCCTCAGGGAAGTCTTTCTTAACTAGGTTAGTTTTTTTCTATATACTCCCATAGCACCATATTCTTTTCCTCTTACCATTTATCACAAATATACTCTACATGTGTCTCTGTGAGTCTTTGTCTCACCCTAGGCTTTGTGTTCCTTGAGGGAAGGCAACATGTCTCTTTCTGCCTACATTTATATCTGCGCCTTTTGCACATATGTAGGAACCAAAGAAACAGATAGATAGATGGATAGATACTGGATTATGAAAAAAGTAAAAATTATTTGTTTTGGTCATCTGTGATTCAGTAAATGGTTCTTTTATGTCCGTTATCAAGATTTTAGAGGTTTTTAATTAGTATATTACAAGCTTATGTTAAATTCTCACTATTGACCATATTTGTGGCAAATGAGATGTGTCTAAAGACATTTTTAAAAATTATTTTATTCATGGAGCCTGCCATATTTTTTATGTTATCATGTATCTCCCCCATTGTTTTATATCTGTTAATTTTATACATAAGAATTTTTCCATCCCAAAACTAAGGAACATTTTTTCATTTTATTCTGACTCCATCTACTTCATTATTTAAATATAATATACCTTAATCAATCTGGAATTTACTTCAGTAAATGTCATTTATTTTACCAGTTAATGGATTTTGGTGGATTAATGATGGCCACAAAATCTTTGTCACTCCCTCCATTGAAGTGTAGATGTTGTTTTCCCTCCCCTTGACTCTGAGCTGGCACTAGATTCTTTGATCAATAAAATGTAGCAGAAGTGACACTGTGCCAGTTCAAGGTCTAGCCTGTAACAGGACTTGCAGCTTCCACTTCTTTCTCCTGGCATTCAGCAGCCACTAGTTCTAGTACCCTGATATCACTATGCTTATGAGAAGCCCAACTTGGCCACATGGAACATGTATACACACACACAAATACACACATGCATCATGTATTTTTTTTAAGATTTCCACATTTTTTTAAATTGAAGTATAGTTGATTTACAGTGTCATGTTAGTTTCAGGTGTACAGCAAAGTGAGTCCATATATATATGGAATATATATATATATATATATATATATATATATTCTTTTTCAGATTCTTTTCCCTTAATGGCTATTACAAAATACTGAGTACAATTCCCTGTGCTATACAGTAAGTCCTTGTTGGTTATCTATATTATATATAGTAGTGTATATATATTAATCTCAAACTCCTAATTTATCCCTCCCCTCTTCCCCTTTGGTAACCATAAGTTTGTTTTCTATATCAGTAGGTCTATTTCTATTTTGTATTTAAGTTCATTTGTATCATTTCTTTTTTTTAGATTCCACATATGGGTGACATCATGATATTTGTCCTTTTCTTTCTGACTCATTTCATTTAGTATGATAATCTCTAGTCCATCCATGTTGCTGCAAATGGCATTATTTCATTCTGTTTTATAGCTGAGTAATATTCCATTGTATATATGTACCACATCTTTTTTATCCATTCCTCTGTTGATGGACACTTAGGTTGCTTCCACGTCTTGGCTATTGTAAACAGTGCTGCAGTGAACATTGAGGTGCATGTATCTTTTTGAATTATGGTTTTGTGTGGATATATACCCAGGAGTGGGATTGCAGGATCATATGGTAGTTCTGTTTTTAGTTTTTTAAGGAAACCTCCATACT